AATAAAAATTTCCGGAGTTTTTTTATTTTAAAAAATTCTATATTAAAAATTCTTAAAAATCTTTGAAGATTTTTGAAAATTTTTCAGGAAATTTTTGAAAAATTTTTTTGGATGAAGATCTCCAGAGATTTCCATCCAAAAAATTTTTCTGATATACTTATCTTGTTATTAAGAGGTTTGGGTTGTTTGTTTCTTTGAATATTTTCTGTCTTTTATTAGTTGAAAGTATTTTGGACTCTTTTTTTTTGAAATTTTTTAAAAAAAAAATTTTTAGGATTTTTGGTATTTGTCAAAAAGAGTTTTTTATCTTTAAAAATCTTTATAATTTTTATGTAAAGTAATTTATAGTTCAATATACTGGTTTATAACTAATAGTACTTTACAAAAAATATAAAATTAATTTTTTCAAAGATCAATTTATTTAAAATGATATACTGTATATTACAAAACCCATAAAAGATATAAAGAAAATTATAATCTAAAAAACTAAAATAATATAAAATCAATCAATCAATCTGACAATAATACTATTAAATATGCTAGTATTATATATATCAAAATTAATTATTTTGATATAGAAAATTTTATAAAATATGAAATTTAAGAATTGACAATTGATACATTTGTTAATAAAGTATCAGATATTACTTATTAAACTTACTTTTTAATATATTTGAATGATATTATTTCATAAGAAAAAATAATAATAAAAATTATTAATATTATTATAAATAAAATTGAAAATAGAGATAATTACTTATAAAAGTTAATATTATTCTATATAAGATATATTTAATATATTTATTTTTAATTAATAAATTATATTAGTTTTTAAAAAAACAGATTTATTGAAAAAATTTAATAATACAGTTGATAGATTTACTTATATATATTATTAATTAAAAAAAATATAAAGAAAAAAATATAAGAATTCTAATTATAAATAGCTTATATATACGTAACCATAGAAAAAAACTTACTATATGAGTTAATATAATTCTTTTTTTTTTTTTTTTTTTTAGAGGCAAAGCGCATTACATGCAATAGTTTTTATTAACTTTTTATGAAACAAAGTTACAACCATTAGAGTTAATATAATTCTTGATATTGTAATAATAAATATTAATAACAGAATTTTTTATTCATATCTTTAGAGTATTTTGAAAAAAAAATTTTTTATATAAAAAATATATATTATTATAAAAATTCTAATAAAGTAAATTTAATAATATTGTTATAAATCCTTAATATATTATAATTGATACAATTATTTGATATAATTAATTAAGTTATTAATTATTTTTAAAAATTTTGAAATTAAATTAATAACAAAATAATTTATAATTTATATTATATGTATAATATGAATTTATCTATTTGATATTGCTTTAATAAAATTATTAATGTAATAACAATTGATTTGTTTATTTAATATTGAATAAAGCCTTCTTTTAGCTATAAAAAAAAAAGTTAAAGCTTATATAAGTTAGAGATTTAATTTTCGTGTAACATCGGAATTTTATTGATATAATTTCTTATTTCCAAAACAAGATCCTTTAAAACTTGATATTGCTATAACGGGTAAATATATAAAATAAAAAAAAAAAAATTCCGCGCAAATTCTGTGACGTAAAAGGGATTAACCAGGCAAAAAATTATAACGAGGAGGCTTGGCTTTGATGAAAATACTTAAAAAAAATGATAAATCCACGCGTATTCTTTGACATAGACATTGATGGGCAACGAGGTATGCTAAAACAGAAGTTGTGCTCAATTTTAATTATAAATTCAACACCTTTAACTACTTCCTTGTTATAGTTGGCAGGTACATTTGCGGCTTTAATTCGAAAACTATAAAAAACTTGATTTCTCACTTATTGGCAATAACCGTGCTTCAATATTAGTTTGAACTATGACTCACTACATTCCACTTTTGCTTCAAAGGATTGTAATGGAGTTATTCCAAAATGAGGTTCCGGTGTGTGTTAGGCTGAAGAAAGATTTTTTTTTTTTTAAAGCCTTATTCCTCGATTGACACTTTACAAATTTGTTAGATAACTGCAGAAAACTTTAGAGCTCTTTGCACGGGTGTGTTCATAATCGTGAACATTCATTGGTTAATCTTGATATCAATAATGATTGTTTTTTTAATCAGGTGAGAAAGGGGTTGGAAAACAAAGTAACATGCCCCTCCATTACCGTGGTTCCATTTTTCATAGGTAAGACTAGTTTGATAAGTCATCGGATTCATTGAATATTAACTAATATAATGGTGAATGGTAATTTTTAATTGATTAGAATAATTAAAGGGTTTATGATCCAGGGTGGAGGTAATGAATTATTAAGTGAATGGTTCATTCACGGAAAATTTTATATTAAATAGTAATCACTTAGATTTTACTCGAAGAAATGGCACTGGTGGTGAAAGCATTTATGGAGGTACCTTTGCTGGTAAGATTTGGTTTCTAAGTATATTTATGAACTTATTTTTTTTCGTTAATCTATTAATATGGCTATGTTTAAATAAAGATGAGAGTATGCGTCGCAAGCATGATCAGGAAGGACTGCTGACCATGGCAAATAAAGGTCCAAATACTAATAATTCGCAGTTTGTAATAACTGTACGGCCTGCGCCACATTTGGACGGTATAGAAATATCAATTTAACTTAGTTTACGATCTATTTTAATTACTAATGATGTTAATATTTTCAAAAGGTAAACACGTTGTTTTTGGGAAAGTCGTTGGCGGCTATGAGGTTGTTAAGGCAATTGAGAGTACACCAACAGATGAACATGATCGTCCTATTGGCATTGTTATGATAGCACAATGCGGAGAATTGGAATTAAAGCTACCTCCTAATTTAAAGGGTACATTTACTACTTATTATTTGAGTCAGTCACCTCTTTATAATAATAAAGTAACATATATTTTAGTAATTAAAGATAAAACTAATCAAATTGTCAAAGAGGAAGATGAATCAACCTCAAGTGCATCAGAATCCGAAGATAACAAGAAAAAAAAAAATCGTAAGAAGTCCAAGAAATCTTCGTCAAAACTAACCAATTCTGAGAGTGAATCAAGTGATTCTGAAGAAGAGCATCAGAAAAAGAAAAAGGATAAAAAAAGAAAGAAAAAAAAATCATCCAAAAAGAAGCGTAAGGAGAAGAAAAGAAAGAGAAGCAGAAGTCCGAGCGGTTCACGTAGTCGAAGTGTTAGCAGAGAAAGAAAGCGTAGACCAAGAAGTAGATCCAAATCTCCCGTTAGAGAAATTACCAAGCCCGATGATGATACACATCTAAAGTCGACGAATGGTGACGGCAAGAAGCAGGAGAGACCTCGATCGAAAACTCCTGTTTTTCGTCGTGATTCGCACTCACTTTCTCGTTCTAGGTCTGTTACTCGTCGTAAATCCCATTCCAAGTCTCGCTCGATAGAACGTTCCGTCTCCAGATCGCGTACTCGTCGGACACGTTCTCGCAGTAGAAGTTTGCCCATTCGTCGTAGAATGGATAGCTACAGACCGACTGACACTTACATTCCATCTCGTGATAAGCGATTATCGGGTCGTCTTCGAGATCGTGTGAGAACACGTAGTCGTGACCAGAGTCGAAATCATGATCAAAACCGGAGCCGAGATCGGAGCAGGGGTCGGTATAAAACTCGTAGTCGCGAACGCAGCCATAGCAGGGACCAAAGTCGTGGTAGAAGCCGTGACAAAAGCTTTAGTAGGGATGCGTCTCGAAGTCGTGAAAAAAATCACGCTAAAAATTATGAACGTACTGGAAGCCCCAATCGTGATAAAATTTCTATCAGAAAACGTCATCAAAGTCGGAGTAAAAGTCCCGAACACTTTAGGGAACAGGATGAAAGCATCAATCGTAGCAGAAGTCCTGACAGAGATGGGAATCGCAGTCGCTCTAGAGAACGGAAAGATAAGACAGAAAGATCATATGACAAATCGCGTAAACTTGATTTGGATGCAAATAATGAACCCACATTGGAAAAAAACAGTAGATCAAGGTCTAGATCTCCACCCGTTAAATACAAAGGCAGGGGAAAATTGGTAATTATTTTATTTTCTTTGTATCTATTATTATCATTATTGGTTTTTTTTTAACGAAATTTTTAACCCTCTTAAAAGAAATATTTTTCTTCAATGAACGCATGGTAATGATCATTATTTATGTACCACAATATGAAAGCAAGTAATTTGCATGGTGCAAGTTTATTTCGTTTGAATGATTTTTCTCGACTATATTGTAGATAGGTTATAATTGTTTGCACGTTTTCATTCAAATGTCTTTTTAACACATATGGCCATCAAAATACTCTTTCCAATAAACGAAACCTGGTACATACCGCTTTAATAAACAACTTTAACCACTGTATTGCGGTTGGTTTAGATAAAAAGCATGTTATTGCATTTCCGATGACTATTGTAATAACTTAATGCGTTTTAAATTTTATGTATTTACGTTTGAATTTTTTTGACTAAATGGTTATGTTAAACGATTTTATTTTACCAGCTCAATACATAAAGATGATAATTAAATCCTAATTAAAATAAAAAATTTTTATTTTGTATAATTGTAATATATCGATAACTTTTAAGTATACAGTATACAGTATATAAGGATCTTAATAATTTGATTTGATTGATTTGATTTCAATTCTCAGGTTTATATTAAATTTAATATGTGGGTTATACCCACCATGATTTTTAAGTGTTCTAAACCTCGTATAAATCTGATTTTCGGAATCTTTTCTGGTTAAGACTTTTCATTAGTTTAATGGAAAAAATAAAAAGAAAATTTTTTGCAAAACAAAAGATATAATAATTAATAATAATAATTAAGATTTTAATTCTATTCTATTAATTTATACATTAGTTAGAAATAATTTATTTGATATACTATCACTTGTCAATTATTTGTTTTTTTTTTTTTCTGTAATCAAACAAGTATTTATTGTGTTTATTTAATCATTGGCATTGAAAACATACTAGTACAAAACTTTTATGCATAAATTAAGTTAATACTTGAATACCCATTCCTAATTGTCAATCTCTAAATATGATCTTGAAGATGAATAAAGTCACTTGCTCATCTCTTCCATTTCTAAGAGAATTTGGATTTATTGCTTACAGTTCATTACTACAATTTACCTTGGCAAGATCTTGATTACTTTATATTCCTAATTATTTAATTTCCTCATTTGTCTTGTTCTATAAGATCTGTATAAGAGTTTTTGAGACCTTGCTATCTTCAGTTACTGGACTTGTATTTGTCAATATTGCTGTTATTTCCTTTTCCTTTTCCTGAGGTCTGTGTTTCTCCTTGGACTTAAAGGCTTCTCTTGATATCCTTGAATTGTAACCTGTTTCTCTTCCTTTTTCTTTGTCATATGCTTTCTTATAGTCATAAATTTTTTCATATCTTGTATTTCAAATTTGCTGATGAAACCCTTTACTCCAGCCTTATAATATTTTGTTTAAGATCTTTTGGACTACTACTTTATGTATGTTGAGTGTATGGTATATTTGGATCCACTCTAGTATTTTTTTCTTCATCCACAATCCTATACTAATGTTTATTATTTCTTTTGCTGAAGATAATTTTTCAATTCTTCACCTTTCTATTATTTTATAAATTGGTTTAAATTCCATTTGGCTTTCTTTTTGTCTTTGTTGATATGCTTTGTAATCCAAAATGTGCATAGCTTGTTAAGGATATTTTCTTATATTCTATCTTTTTCTTTTTGGAGTTTATTACAAATTACTAAATAATCTATGGTCTCTTTATAATTCAAACAAAAGACACATTTAGTATTTGCTACTAGTTCTTGAGTATTTCATTTGACCAGGTTATTCAAGGTTAACAGTTCATTATATATAAGCTTGATCTTGAATGTTTTTTCATTCATCTGTTTAAATAAGATAGATAGTGATTCTTTACTGTTATTATACTGCCAAAAACCTTTCCAATCAATTTTGTTATAGTTTGCTATCTCATCTTTTTATCTTTATTATATTCTATTAAGAAATACCCATTGTATTAAAATTTCTCTCATGTTGAAGTCTTTGATAAATTCTTTGATCAAGATGTTTATGGAATCTTGTTCCATTCTAATACTGTAATTGGGATTATTGTTAACAATGGTTTCTATTCGATTTCCAGCTCTTCTTTTGCTGCTATAACTAACTAGTCTGCTTGATCATTTAGCATGTCTTTGTTATAAACTTTGATTTTGGTGAGTTTCAGTTGAATTCTTTTTTTTGCAACTGTGTTCATTAATCTTAACCATAGCTACCAGTTTGATATTTTTATTTGTCTTTTTAATGCTTCTTTGGGGTGAAGTTTGTTTAGCTTTGTGAAGGTATTAATATATTTAGCATTGTTTATTTTGATTTCAACTCTTCTATCATTTGATATAGTTATCACTGCTAGGAAAATTGCTACTAGTTTTGCTCTTGTTAGAGAGAATCAGCTATTTACTCTTGCTTAGAATGTTTTTCTTGGATTTGATTCTTCTGTTTGAAGCTGTGCTGCTTCCATCTTTATGAACTGATCTGATGTTTTGCCCATGGCTCCATCTGTATAGAATTGGTAAATGTTTTTTTTGTTTTAGTTCATATTGAATCTGTATTCTGCATATAGCTATTTTTGATATTCTTCTGGCTCTATGTTGTCTTGAATTATTTGTATGCCATGGTCTTCTATCTTAATATATTGGAGTTTGGATATGTTTGTATTATTAAGACAAAGTTCTTCCAGTTTTGTTTTGATCTGATTTTCTAATATATTTGTTTTGATTGGTATTATTGGCTCTTTGCTTTTTTTATATTTAACAATCTTGTTTATCCAATTGAAGACAAATATGAAGTTTTTGTTGACTTGTTCTTGGTTGGCTTCAACCTTTATGAACTTGGTTATATTTGGATTTTTTTCTGCTTTAATTTGAAAGTATTCTATATCTCGATTGTTTGTTGCTTGTATACTTCTACTTCTAAACCAAACCCATTTTTGCTCTTTGTCATTATTTGTACTTACTTGCCAATTCTATTTCCTGTGATCAATGTTTTCATTGAATATAAAAAGTAGTCTATTTTGGTGTATCCAATTATATTTCAACTATTTTTGCTTGAGAATACCATAATCATTTGTTAGTATTTTCTTTATAGATAAGTATCATATTGATATGAATCCTTATTCTTGATTTTTTGGGAATAATAGTATTTTCCAATTTAGAAGTGTATTATATTCTTTGTCTTTTAGCTGATCTACAAACATGATATTGTATTTCCTTAGGAATTTTGTTGCTTTGCTATAAGTAAAAGAGCTATTTAGAAGAGTTTTGATCATTATATGCCCTCTTTTTCATTGGAATATATTTGTCCATTAAGAGTCTGAAAACATAATTCACATTTTGTTTGCTGCCTTGAGTATTTGTGCTGAAAGGTTTTTTTTGTAATTATTGTTGACAGGATTTTTGGTAAGAAGGTTTGTTGGCTCCCAATATTGTATTTGTACTTGTTTGAGTCTAATTAAAATAGATTTACATGAGTAGTTATGGTTATTCAATTTGTTTACAAAAGTTTGTGATTTGGTTTTCTAGTTATATCTTCTTTATACTTTTGATTTTTTAAAAGAGTTTGTGATATATAACAGAGTTGGAAATTGTTTCCATTATGTGGATTACTTTTTTAAGTATCTTTCTTAATTATACTGAGAGATAATTGGCTGTATAGAAGTTGATTAAACTGTATTGTATTCTGTATTCTTTTTTTTTTTTTTTTTTCCTCAATCAGGTTGGTGTCATTTATTTATTAAATCAAAATGAACCATTACAAATATAAATTGTATGTATAAATTTCCCTGACCCAGCTTACCTGTTTGTGACAAAGAGTCTTTAGATGCGATTTATGGGGATGATATATTGCTCATCCATTAATTGGGATTAAGATCCCATTTGTTTAATAGAGTCAAAGCCTGCAGATCATCTCTACAGATATGTATTCTGTATTTTATTCTAGGTATTAGGACTCTATTAATAATGTACTCCATGTACAGTTCTGGCGGAAAAGACTGGGTCTAAAATAAAATTAATTTATTTTACTAGTTTTTAAAATTGTCATTTAAAATTTTAAGTCTAAGAAGTTTATTATATGTATTTTATGTCTATAAATTTTTAATATTGAATTTTTTGACTGTTTTCTTCAAGTATTAAATTTACTCGATTTTCCATACTGGCGGCTAAATTAAAGCATGTGCTACGATCGATGTGTTTCCACTCACTTTTAATTATTGCTTTAAAGTCATTTTGTGTGACTGATTTTTTTTCATTGACCATTCTATTTACCTTTTTTTCCACCTTACGTTTTATTATTAATCACAAGTTTTCTATCGGATTTAGATCTGGCAAATATGATGGTCAATCAAGAACATACACACAACAATTTTCGAGAAGAGAGGTTGTGGCCTTAGCAGTATGCTTCGAGTCATTATCATGTTAAAAGACTTACGACCTCCCAAAAATTCGGTTGGCTTGATTAAAAAGATTTCTAGTTAATATCTTATAATACAACTAACTCCTTATTTAAAGTTTCAGAGAACATGTGAAATTCTACGATCCTCCACGAACAAAAAGCACCCCACACATGAATTTTAAAAGAGTGTTTAACGATTTCACAGCTTGGTTTTTTTTCACCAATTTTGTAGCAGACTAAGGTTGTATCATGAAACATCTGAAAAGTAGTTTCGTCAAAAAAGATCACATTTTTCCAGTTTTGATACTGATGTTTTTGGCCCAGGCAATTTGAGTCATGATGACATTTTCGGTAAGAAATGGTGTGGTTTGAGGCACACAAACTCGGTAACCAAGCTTCTACAGGTTCTCTCAGACTGTTCGCATAGCTATATTAAGATTTGGATAGGTTGCGTTCATTTTTTCAGCAATTTCTAAACTTGTTACATCACAATGTGATTTGGCAAACTGATCAAGAAAATGAAGTTTTTTTTTTATCTAGGACCCTTGGACGACCTGATCGACTTTTTTGCCTCAAGTTTTTTGTTTTAGATAGTTGGACGACCCATTTAAGTAGTATGCTTCGAGGAAACCTAGTAATTTTTTGCAAAGTTTTTACATTACAAATTCCTTTTTCCCATAAATATT